TCTGATCAAAATGTTCCATGCTTTTTGTCCTGAGTTTGTTCAAAGTGTGTGCCTGTCTTGTAATTAGAAGAAGATAAGTATACAAAGTCAATCCTCTAGGACTCAGAGTACCTGGAGGCACTGGGTACAGAGTTGAGTTGGACTTGGGCTGGGTGGCAGCCAAAGTCATCTGTGGCAGTCAGTCATCATTTCTGTCATCTACGCTCTGAAGCTCATTGCTTCCTCGTTTTCATGTGTCACTTTGGTTTTCTTTTCTCTTAGTTTTCCAGATAAGAGTTATTTTGAAGAAATTTAGGGACAGTCTCTCAGGCAAGATAAAGGGAAAAGAAATGTTCTACCCTTGATGTAGCCTAGCTAAGAGTGTCAGAGCTTCTTGGGAATCAGAAATAATGAAGACAGGGGAACTGGGGCAGTTGGTGAAAAGTGGGGACAACTGTCATATCTGAGCCCTTATCATCCAGGATCTAGTTTCCTGGGTCCCAGGGGCCTTTTCCAAGACAAGAAACCATGTCCACATTCAACAACAAGGAGGCTGAAGAAAAATATTCTCTGTGGTCACAGGAGGGAGTTGAGTGGGTAGCTCAGTGGCTCAATCACTGATAACAGTATTATTGGTACAGGGCCAAGGCTTTGGCTTCTCAGTTGTTAACTCTAGGAAAGGCTCTCCTGGACATGTGACAATAGGCCAAGGCTAGAATTTCTTCCTTGATCAGGCTGAACACTAGACAATACCTTTAGTGTTGGGAAAAAGCACTAGAGAGGCAGGATGTGGCACTGAGGGGGACTGTGGATCAGGGGAACACGGGAACAGCAAGAAAAAATGATGGAGTCTGGTGTTTGCTCTGTATCAAGAATGATCTATGATAGCCATGCTTTTGGTTTCAAATAAGTGAGTTTATTAATTGTATAGCAAACAAAAAGTAAAACAACAAAATAGCAAGCCACGGATGACAGCAGAACATCTGATCAGGCACTTACACCATTCTGTAGGAACAGCTCAAGAAGCCCCAGGAAAACAGTCAGATGGAGCTCCTGATTTATATAGAAGGTCCAGGTCTGAATGCCTTCCTTTCAAGTGAGACGTCCAATTAGTCATTTCCACTACAGGCACTTTTATATCATGGGATATGATTACCTTCCAGCTATTCTTAAGGGCACGGTGTTTTTTTTTTTTAATAATTTTTGAGTATTGTAGTTATACCATACCCCCTTTCCTCTCCTCACCTTCCAGTTCCTTCCATGTCCCTCCCTCAATTTCATGATCTCTTCTTTAATTATTATTGCTACATATTTACAACCTACTGAGTTCATTTAGTGTTGCTTGTATGCACATGTGTTTAGAGATGACCATTTGGGATTGGATAACCTCTCAGGGAACTTGTTCCTGGAGAAAACTGATTCTCCCTCTCTCAGCAGCCACTGGTTACCTGTAGCTCTTCATCTAGAGGTAGACCTTGTGAAATTTCCCCCATCCCTATTGGCATGTCAGCTGGTGTTGTCATTATGTGGATCTTGTTTAAGCAGCCACACTGTTGAGATTTTATCGGTGCTTCTTCCTTGTCACATCTAGAAGATGTTATCTAGCAGTGGGCAGCCTGGTCCTCTGGCTATTACCATTTTTCTTCAATGTTCCCTGAGCCTTAGGTGTAGGGGTTGCATTGTAGATGGATCCATTTGGGCTGGGCACCCCACAGTTACTCATTCTCTGCATTTTGACCAGTTGTGGATCTCTGTAATAGTCTCCCTCTGTTGCAAAAGAGACCCCATATCCTACTACAGAGATACTTGCTCAGCCATGTTCACTGTCACTCTTTTCACAATAGATAGGAAATGTAAACAACCCAAATGTCCTTCAGCTGTGAATGGGTAATGAAAATGTGGTACATAATCACAATGGAGTCCTATTCAGTTGTAAAGAAAAATGAAATCATGAAAATTTCAGGTACATGGATGGAACTGGAAAACATTATGCCTAATGAGGGTAACCCAGACATAGAAAAAACAAACTCCACATGTTCTCTCTTACTTGTGGATCCTAGCTCTGAATCTTTAGATGTGCATATATAACCTGAAGTAACCACAGAAGCCAGGAAAATAGAAAGGGACCATGGGGAGGAAGGGAGAAGGAGCTCTATAAATTGTGGGGTAATAGGACAAAGGCACTATCAAAGGTGAAATGGGAAAAATAGGAAGAGGCTTTAGCTGGGGAGTGAGGGAGTGGTACAGAGAGAGGGAGGAAGAGAGATGAATAACACTGAGGATGTGTACTAGAGAAACATTGTATAAGCTTACTTAAAATACATATTTTTTTAATTTTTATTTTATGTGTATGAGTGTACTGCCTCCATGTATATAAATGCACCCATGTCATGCAGTGCCCACAGACATCAGAAGAGGGTGTTGGATCCCCTAGAACTGGAGTTATAGAGGTTATTAGCTACCATGTGGGTCCTGGGATTTGAACCTTGGTCTTCTGCAAGAACGGCCAGTGCTCTTAACTTTTGAGCCATTACTCCAGCCCCCTTAAAATACAATATATTTTTAATGGAATTACACTGAATGGGGTGATAATGCTCCCCCCAAGAGCTGTAGACTATCTGGCAAAAACCCCAGTGCAGACAAGGGAAACCTGCCTTGGAACTATTGGTCAGAGTAGTCCAAGATACTCCCCCAAACAGTGTAGCCTACTGCCATTCCCATTAGTTGCCCTCCAGAACTTGAAGGTAAGACCCTATTGTTAAAGGGCACAGTGTTTTTACTCAAATGAATTTATTCTCCTTCTGTTCTCAAGGGCATGGTGTTTTTATTTATGGGCTGTTTTACTTTTTTTTTTCTCCTTGTCACAGAGCTAAGAAGCAACCTGTCCCTGAACAATGGTGTTTGGAGGACACTTTGAGACAAATATGCTTGGGTCTTAGGTGGGGCAGGGTATAGGAGAATTATCCTGCTTCCAGAGCTGGCTTCTTGATAAACTTAAGCAGCATGTAACAATTTACTAACATAATTTTTATTATAGTAGCTAAATGCTGCTGATATCAGTATGAGTGTAATGCTCTGGATGTGGGAGCCCAGAGCTAGCTTCTTGTAACCCCATACATGGCTTGTTTCTTCTTCCTTTAACTAGCCCCCTCAGACATGTATGTGGACCCCATCTCAAGCCTATCCCCTGCATCACTGTTCCCACTGATAATCTCTTAGACCTGGTACATATGCCGGGGACACGGGTGTAAGCCTTCACTCTCATACTCATGGTGTGCTTTGCCACACTGAGAGCAGTAGAGTGTGCTTGCTTCTGCCTTTCATGCTCTGGGTCTCTCCTCCTGTTTCTACAGCGAAGACATTTAGGGTCATCATCAGTGCCATGGAGGAAGTGCTCTGCCTCTGCTTTTGCCTTGCCTTGACCTTGTTTTTCCCCTCCTCTTTTGTCTTTTCACTCTTCGCCAGTCTTTTCCCAGTGCCCAACAGCCTACCAGACACATAGGGTTTGGTAGTGAACATATATGGTTGCTTCCCCAGTAGCATTCCCTTCCCTTGTATGTTTCTGGATTGTTTCTTGGGGAATTTGCTACTTCCTCCTTGGTGAGAAGCAGTAGAAAATGACTGTTAAAAATATAGGCTATGGTGGCTGGAGAGATGACTCAGTGGGTAAGAGCACTGGCTGCTCTTCCAGAGGACACAATTCAGTTCCCAGTACCCCCATGGCAGTTAACCATCCACAACTCCAGTTCCAGGTGATCTGATGCCCTCATCTAGCCTCCATGGGTTTGTACATGCAGGGTACAATTACATACATGCAGGCAAAGCACTCATACACATAAAAATACTTTAATTTTTTTTTAAAGAATGCAAGCTCTGGGCTGGTGGTGACTCCGTTGTTAAGAGCAGTGCCTGGGCCAATGGACAATAATGTTAGACACATCTCCCCATATCTTCTTGATGACCTTCAGTACTTAAGTCAGTAAAAAGGTCATAAGGGCCACAGCACAGGAGAACTGGGAGACCAGAAGGAAGGAGAATTATAGATTTAAGGAGAGGGGTTGCCAGGGGCTGCTTTTTCTGTATCTATATATTAAATCCATCTGGTCATAATCTTTAGCAGAGCTGAACAGCTCTGTATTTTAAGCCACACCTCTCACTTCTCATAATAAAATGCTGGCACTGAAATAAACCTGGGGAAATAGCTAGCTTTGCCATCTTGCTTTGCACCTAGGCACAATAGTCAATATTCTAAGTTATGGATGAGTGGGTACGCAGGTGGGCAGGGTGATGTATGACTCTCTAAGGTAGTAATTTGCTTTTCTTTTTGTTACAGTTGTCTCAAAGAAAATAAATAAGGCAATGAGGTGAATACAAACCTTTATTTTCTCTAAAAATTGAGGTAAAGGGAACTCTTTAGAAACAAACAAACAAACAAACAAAAACGCAGCAAACTCATCTACATGGTGAAAATGGGAAGGCCCAGCTTCATGTAGTGGTTCTAGGATGGTCAAACAAAGAAATCAAGTTTGGCCAAGGTTAATGACATTCTTCCTGAGTTGGTCTGAGCTTCAGGGTTGTGATTATCATTTCATTTAAAAGAGAAAAGAAGTCAATCAAGGGTTGAGGCTATAGTTCTTGGAGATACTCAAAATTGATGATACTGTCACCTCAGGTGACATGCAGCTGGTGTTTCTGGTGCTGGTAAGGAAACAGACCCAGTTTCTCAGGCTCCTCTGCCACCCCCATGTCTAGCCTGGCATCTCTCTGGTCCTCATGCCCCAGAAAGTTGCTGACTCTCTAAGTCTTTGAGAAGAATGGCCTGTGGGTGTGAACATCATGTGCCATGAACCTGCCTCACAAGAATGTTGGGTTTATTATAAAGGTTTCCGGAATGATCAGGAGACTCATTGTAGGCATGATTCACAGCAGCAGCCAGCCAAGAGGACAGTCCTTTACGGATGGCTTTCTCTTTGGTCCCCTTTCATTATGACATGGATTGGGTCTGATAAAGTCATGCCCTGCTACTCCCACTGGATTCCTAGAAGCTCACAGCTGACATTCCACAAGCGCTCAGCTGTTTTCTTATTTCGGGCCCTTGGAGACACCCAGGTCCTCTTGCAGTCACTGTAGACAGAGAGTGGAAAATAGCAATAAGAATTGGCAGTTTTAACACAAAAGGTCACAAATGGCCAAAGTGTAGAGACTAAGAGTCTGCAGAATGCTGATCCTTGGACAGGACTCCTATATTAAACTACACCCACACAGGGCTCAGGGACCATTGTGGAAGAGGGGGCAGAAAGATTGTAAGAGCCAGAGAGGAGGTGCATGACCATATGAAAATAGAATCCTACAAGCTCCTGGGACCTATGAACCTACAGCAATGGTGTTGGCATGCACAGAACTCGTGCAGACTCAGACAAAAATCCAGCATAGAACTGGGGAAATGGACAGTTGACCCTAATCTTAACTGAAGAAATATTGGCAACTGGTTACTGCTGGGTAAGGAAGAGCTGATCTTCCTAAATTGAGAGACTCTAGATAGGCTGAATAGATTTCAGTAGATGAACCTGAACGGAGGGACGTCTGGGGACACTAACTTGACACAATAGGCAGCCTTAAGACAAATGACAGAATATGTGAATTGCATTGGGGGCTATGGGAGGGTGCCAATGGGGAAGGGAGTGTAAAGATGATTAAGATTGATTGGAATGTTCTGAATGAAATACACAAAAATTAAAAAAAAATAACAGAGTTCATTTGGAGCACACACAAAAAAAGAATTGGCAATCTTGGAATACATTTCTCAGAATATATTTCTACTTATATAAAACATAATTAAATTTATATTAAATATGAAATAAAATATTATGCACAGAACTCAAAGAAACTACACTGAGATTCATTTTTAAAATGTTTTAGGGCCAAGCCTGGTGATGCAGGCCTGTATCTCCTTTGCTCTTGGGAAGTAGAGGCAGGAAGGCCAGGAATTTATGACCATCCTTGGGTACAGAATGACTTTGGGGCCATCCTGGACAGAGGAGACCTGTCTTAAAAAAACAGAATACAGGGGCTGGAAAGATAGCTCAGAGAGTGGTTCAGAGAGTTTCCTGCTCTTCCAAAAGACCCTGGTTCTATTCCCAGTTCTGTACCCACATTGAGCAGTTCACAATCACCTGTAACTCCAGTTCCAGAAGATCTGACTCCTTCTTTTGGCCTCCATAGGCACCCACACACATGTGCACATATACTCACACAGACACATACCATAATTTTTTTTTTCGGTCTTTTTAAGAAAAAGACCAAAAAAAAAAAAATCTCAAAAATCCCACGCATGGTGTCACAAGCCTTTAATCTCAGCACTGGGGAGGCAGAGGCCGGCAGATCTCTGTGAATTCGAGGCCAGCCTGTTCTACATAGGGAATTCCAGGCCATTTGGGGCTACAGGGAGACCCTGTCTCAAAAAGACCAAAAAAAAAAAAATCCCAAAATATAAATAAATGTGTAAGACAGGGCTGGAGAGATGGCTCTGTGGTTACAGTGCCTGCTGTTTTTCCAGACAACCTGAGTTTAGTTTCCCATTTTTGGTAGCTCATAACTGCCTATAACTCCAGCTCGAGGGGATCCAATGCCTTCTTCTGGCCTCTGCAGGCACCCACATACACATCACACACACACACACACACACACACACACACACACACACACACAAATAAAAATAAACCTTTTTTAAAAATTGTAATATAGGATTACCGAGGCTTTTTTGTTCATATAGCCTACAAGATCTAATACCAAAACTGATAACCATTTAAAAGTAATGGTAAACAAAAATGGCATTATCAAATATCTGCAATAGCTATAGTGTGACACAAATATATTGGTAATCCTATGATGGCAAAGTCATAGATATCACCAAGAACTTTTTTTTTCTTCTAAGTTTGCAGACCCCTTGAATTCTGTGCTGGATAGCTTTAGTGTCAACTTGACACACTTGGGTTAAGGGAGCCTCAATTGAGGAATTGCCTTCATTGAACTGGCCTGTAGCCACGTTTATGGGGCACCTGCTTGATTGTTGAGTGATGTGGGAGGGCCCAGCCCCCTGTAGGTGGTGCCTCCCCTGGGCAGGTGGGCCTGTGTTGCATAAGAAAGCAGGCTGAGCGGGGCCGAGGGGAGAAAGCCAGTAAGCAGCGTTCCTCCATGGCCTGTGCTCCAGCTCCTGCCTCCAGGTTTCTGCCCTGAGTTCCTGCCTTGGGCTCTTGGATGAACTGTGACCCAGGATATGTAAGCTAAATAAACCCTTTCCTCCCCAAGTTGGTATTGGTCAGAGTGTTTTGTCATAGCAATGGAGAAACAAACTGATACAAATTCTAACCAGTCACTTGTGTCCTGTGAACCCTATAAGCACTGTCTTGTTTTAGAGTGAGCAAAAGGACTAGAACTAGTGGGAAAATGAGGGTGGGTAGGTTTCTTTTTCTAATTATGAAAGCTCTATACGGCTTTTGGAAAATATAATTATGATAAAATAAGAGAAGCCATCATCTGGTTGCCTTTTTTTTTTTGCAGTCTTGTTTGTGTACAAAACACT